TGGAAAACCGTGGTAGAGCGTGTACGCATGCCTGCCATTATAAGCGACAGTTATGTTTTTCGATTAGTTGGTGATTCTAGTTAGGGAAGAATGTTATAGAATTTCTCTATGGAACGTAAACTGGACTACAGTAAATATTTCAAATACAAAGCTCTGGGGTAAAAAAACCGACCGTTCTCGAATGTTTACTCTCTGTATAACGAGTGATCGAAACTAGTTTGGCGCGTGGTTGAATTTAAATCGTTGCTTTGACGTCACCTTTTTCCGTCTGCCTTTCAGAACGACATTAGTGCGCAATTATTGAAGAAGGACAAAAACCTGAAGAGAACAGTTGCCTGTAACTTTTCCTTTACCTTTTCCGTTACATTGCTTATTCCTTATAGAGTCTACATGTTGCGTAATAGAAGTTACGTCTCAATCCTTGGTGTTCTCCCTTGTCTGCATTCTATATCTGGAGCGTTCAGATTGCGCAGCGTTATTCGCTTGGGACACCGTCACTTATCACGTGTGATTTCTCTCAGTTGGAGATTGATAAGTGTGTTAGGTCTCACGGCTACTTTTGTCGATAGTAGCCACAAGTACCAATTCAACGAACGTGTCCAGGCGTGCAGTTATGGTCAGGTGCACGGGTTAAGCAACTGATCCTCTGGACTCGTTAGGCTAGCTGACACAAGCTAAGCGAACAAAGCGTGAATCGAGGATGCGGCGGTTACCGATCAATAGCGGCTGCGACAAACCGCGTGGCGAACCTGGATTGACAGCAGTAAGCTGGTGACTCCTGGGCAACAGATCCAAATCGGGTGGCAGAGAAGCGGGGGATCGAGGCGGCGGGGGGGAAAACAGGAAGGCGGATACTTCCAAGATACGCAGATGCCCCTCGCCGAGGCGATAAGGACTGGCTCGTCTCAACATCCGTTACCTGTGTATGCGTTGTGGGGACGGAAATCTAGTCGATATTCGATGGCGCGCGCGAGACCCTCGATGTGCCCATTTTCGGGTGTGCAATAAAACGTCTACCCCCCTGTCTTGTCGTTTCGCTCACACTGGTGCCGTGACCAATCGCGACTGGGAGTTGACCCAGTTGGAGCAATTTGCGGCCGGTGACGTGGAGGCGTGGCTCGATGAGTTCGACGGAATTGCGGCTTGCACGGGGTGTGAGGGGGGATGCAAATTTGCTAATTGCTTTGGGCACACGGTTGAGTGGACGAGCCAAGGCGGGTGTATTTGCTCACTCGAAAGGCCAAACCCGGTTGTTCGTTCGCTGAGATGAGGGCTGCCTTGTGTGCAGATATTTGGGAAGGATCTGGAGAGAGAACGAGCACTGCAACGATTTCACGCAGCCAGATGGGACGGACAGGAGATTTTGATGGTGTTTTTTCCCAGCAGCTGGACAGACATCTAACGATTGGGCTCCCGAGTTAGAGGGTAAAGCAAGAGAGCGCCTACTGAAACAGCAGTTTAGCGAAGTCTGCCCGGTCCACTCCATGATCAGGTGAAATTGGCGTCGCTGGTGGGAGACAGCAAAGCGTTGGATCTGTGACGGTCGCCCAGAATTTGTCGGAACGAGTAACAGTGAGAAGCATCCAGCATGCTGAGTTGGAACAGAAAGTAAATCGCCTATGCCGAAATGGTGGAGCAGCTGTTTGTCGATAGAGTCTTCAAGCACCACTTCACAACGGCAATGTACGGGTAATCCGGGAACGGGTCGCCGCTGATTCCGATGCAACCAGAATGGTCATGTGGCGAGATTCTGCACCAACTGTCAATGTGCCCCATTGTATTCTCTCTATCCATGCCGGAGTCGGTGGCGAGTACCAGTCCTCCAGTGAAAACTATAGAATTGTTGTGTCTGTCCGAGCCGAAGTAGTAGTACTACAGGAGCTGGCTAGTGTCAATTATCGAAGAGGTCTCAATGGGCGTTCCAGTAAAGCCCATCTTCAATCACGATGCAGACGGTCGGGCGGGCATCTTTGAAAGTGACGGGCATGCAGCTGGTAACAGAATCAGGATAGGAGAAACTGCTCATCGCCATGACATGTTCATACGTTGAGGAGCAGACGACCGAAACCAATCCTCGAGGAACCGACACATCCTGAAACGAGCTCGTTTGTCACAATATGACCTGAGAAAACGATGTGGTGAGATCGTGGCTAACGAGACGATCGAGAATAAACAAGGGGAGAACCGGACCAGGGTTGGATTGCCCTGCAAAGCCGTTGCCTGATTGTCAGTAACCGATGCAATACGCAAACGTACTGAGCAGGTATGCCCACTTATTCACAGACGCGGAAGATGTATTACGGATTATTGCCATATTGGTTTGAAACACACGAATACCGTTGATCCAGAGGGACAAATCAAGCCAATCTTACCAGGTACTAGAATCGCACAGAACACCCTGGTGTGAGATACAGAATGCAGGTGACGCGAGAAGATGGAATCGAAAGGAACACATCAGGCGAACGCACAGCCCGTATTCGAATCACTCCGTGCTATTGACGAAAGAAAGGCCGACGAACTCTATCGATTTTGGTGCATCGATTTCAGAGAACTAAACAGGTGACAGGTGGAAGGATGCACTTCCCGATGCCTCAGATGGAAGAAATTTTCTCAAGCCTCACAGTGCGAAGCAGATATCTCTGGATGATCTCCTCTCGGTGATAAATTGGCAACTGCCGATCGCAGAAAGAAGATCGCCACAAGACGGCATGTCAGTGTTCAATGGCCATAGCAGTATGAGTGTTTTTGAGAATGCCGATTGGATTGTGCAACGCACCGCTACATTCAGGCGGTTTGTATGCTGATGGTCCATCGCGAACCTGCAAGGCGTGGTTTTGTGTAACGGTGATGACATCATCGTCATCATCTGAGACGGAACAGAACATGTGACCAGACTTGGAGGCAGTACTGCAGAGGCTAGGACGAAGCTGGTCTGAATACGTCAGTCGTAAAAAGTCGCAGATGTGCCCAAAAGTCAATTGTATGCTTGGGTCACATCGTGGGCAATGGTCAATGTCCAATCCACTTTCCGGAGAAACGCGAAGCGATCAAGTGCTTCGCAAAACCAAAATCCTAGCGACAGCTCCGTTCGTTCTTGGGAGTGGTGGCATATGATTCAAAGTTTGTGCCCGCAGTACTGCAGAGAAGGTCAGCCCGTTGTTAAAGCTGCTTCGCAAGGACGTGCCGTTCGTGTGGACAGCTGAAGCGGATCAGGCCTTTGACCATCTAAAGGCATGCATAGCAGAAGCCCCGACATGTCTACGGCTACCCCAATCCTGGTGAGAGGTTCACTGTGGCTGTCGACGCAAGCAACGTGGCCATCGGTGCGGTTTTGTCTCAACCGGATGGGTGGTGGAGTACGCGAGCAGAGTGCTGACGGGGGCGGAACAGAAGTATTCAACAACGGAGAAAGAATGCTTGGCCATCGTGTGGGCGTTAGAGAAGTGGAGAAATTACTTACTGGCGAATGAATATCCGGGTCGTCACTGACCACAAACCGCTCTCGTGATTGATGACGGCGAAAGACCCGCGGGGACGGCTTTGCGCGATGGGCCTACCGATTGCAGGAATTCAACTTCACCATTGAGCATGTGGATGGAACGCAAAATGTATTGCCAGATATGTTGTCAACGCCCGTGTTTGGACGACATCATGCCAGACAATGCCATACCGGTGCGTGCGATCGCGATGGGGGAGAGGAACCTGCTGGGAGATCAAAGGACAGATGAATTCGTGAATGTGTTGTGCTCTCACTTACGGGCTGGCACCAAACCGGAGGCTACAACGGAGGAGGTGGAGGAACTCCTCAAGATCTGGGAAAGGTTGAAGGTCGAAAACGATAACGTGGTGGTGGCGATAGACCGGACGGAAAGTGCCTTTTGTTCCACCAAATCAGCGAGAACGTGTGATGCGCATAACTCATGATGGCGCCCATATGGGATTCGAGCGGTCTTTTGAATTGCTGCGGAGGCGAGTGTTTTGGCCAACCATGAGGAAGGACGTCGCGGCATACATTCGGGAGTGCCCAAACTGCCAAACGAGTCGGGAGATGTAGTCCCCGAGACCGCCGATGCGATCGATGGAGGTTGGTGAACCACTTCAGTGTTGGGGACTGGACTTCTTTGGGCCCTTACCAGTGCAGTCGAACAGGAAACAGATACATTCTAGTGATGATTGACCACTTCCACTCGATGGGTGGAAGCCATACCAATCAAGGACCAAACAGGCGAGACAGTGTCGCAAGTATGTCGAATTCAATGTGCCTGCAAGGTATGGGATCCCACAGTGTATCATCACGGACCAAGGGCCCTGCTTCGAGTCAAGAGCGTTTAAGGCAGTGTTGGACAAGTGGGGCAACCAGAGACGGCGAACTTCACCGTACCACCCACAAACCAACGGGATGACCGAGCGGTTCAACCGGACATTGAAGACGTGGATAAACTGCACGAAGTTGGCATGGGAAGATGCATTGCCTCAGGTTCTGATCGCGTATCGGACCAGCATGCAATCAACCACCAAGGTCTCGCCATTCGAATTACTGTTCGGCAGAGAACCACGGATTGCGCTCGATACTTGCCTACCGAACCAGGGTGAGGGGAAACATCCAGCTGAGCATACAAGAGCGACTGCGATGGAAAGCTAGAAGCGAAACCAAAGCTCGACAAGCGCTGGAATAAGCGAAAATTACGACGTCCAGGCATGAGGCATCACAAGTGGATGGCCATTCAGGATTGGAGAACGGGTCAAGTTTACGGAACACAACGATTCGGCCGGATCATGACGGGCCGGGCCGCAAGCAAGGTTCAGAGAACGCTGGAAAGGCCCCTACACCATTATCGACCAGAAAGCGGGCAACTTCTTAATACGACTTGCGGAGGAATGAAACGTTGGGTGACTGCTGCTCTCCTGCGACCATGGTACGAGAGGTAAACGCCGTGCGATTTTCGAAAGATACATTCAACATGTACCCATCTTCGTCCTGTTCCGCGTATTGGAAGTACCAAGCTTCCGCCGCAATTTTCCCCAGCCAGTACATCAACAGTGTCTAGATAATAGTGGAGGTTGTTTAAAGGGTTAAAGCTCATAGCTAGTGTGCTCATAGACAAAAAGTTGGTATTGCACTACTTGTTTTCCTCTTTTAGTTCAATCCCAGAAGAATATTTTGTCGTGCCTCGCGACTGCTTTCTTCCACAAATGGTTGGGAGAGCACGCGAGAAGTAACGGGATTTAGAGTGTTTTCGTGATGCGCAAATATTCAAGCTCGGTAGCAACACACCAAGGTCACATTCCTGAGAGCTTGGCTTCGGATCATGCGCCCCAAGTTCGTAGACGTAGGCGTGTCGATGCCGGATTTGTACAACGCGTCACTTATTCACAATGAATGGCACTGAATTCCTCACCGACCAATGTCAAGCCTCATCGATGTTGCGCTGGAGGATCCCGTGGTCGTCCATCCCTTTGCGCGCCCGCCAAATCTTAACCTTGTTCGCAAAAAGTAAAAATTCTGAGGCGATGACTCTCGCTAGATCGGTAATTAAAACTAAGAACAAGCGACGCCCTAGTACCAAACCCTGCGGTACGCCAAACTTTACTCGAATCGAGTCGGACAGAGAGTTTCAGACTCTAACCATAATTGCCGTTCGCGAAGAAAATTACCAACCCATCATAATACTGGATCTCCGAGGCCATAGGGTTGCAGTTCGTGCGGGATGATTCGATGATCCAAGCGATCGAAGGCTTTCGAAAATTCCATGTAAATAACATCAGTTCCTGTCATCCCGTCGGCTATTTCTGTCCAGTTTCAGGTGCTATCAGCAGGTTCGTGGTACTTGATGGGTGTTGACGAAAGCCGTGCTTCTCCAGCACAATGAGGCCGCGTCTTTCCAATTAGCTCATTAGCACGTCCGTGACGATCACTTCCATGACTGGCGAGAACAGGAAGAAACGTTACCAGGTGGTAATTGGTAGGATGATATGGACTTCTTTCTTTGTGAATGGGGCCATAACACTTCGTTTCTAAGTTGACGAAACTATGTTTTCATCCAGACAAACCTGAAAGAATCCTGCAAATAGTTGGGCTAGGTGCTTAGCTGCTACCTGCCGTGTCTTTTAGAGTGAATGTTTTCCACTCCAGGAGAGTTGTGTGTACTCAAGCATAGTGGCTTTTTCAGCACCGTTTCTGCTGTGAATTTGATGCTGGATAACACTGATGGTATGGTGACAGAAGCAAGTATAGTGTTCGAGGCTTGACCGATTGGAAAATAAGAAGTACTGGGCCCTTAAGGCGTTTGCCGTCTCTTTTGCTGTGCGTGTAAACCCACCAATCGTAGTGAGTGATGGGATTCCGCGCCGTACCATTTGAAGTTCGTTCACGTTACTGTAAAGAAGATTGTGGTTCGAACACAATCGTTCCGCCAGCTCCTGTTGGTGTGCTAACTTGTCTTCCCGAACCAATTGTACTGCGCAATTGCGCTGAGCTACTTACGCGGTCCAACTTTTGTGCTGGGATTTTTTTAAGGTCGCCATGTCCCATCCCTCTAGGCCGTGAATTTTCGTATTTGGCTTCCTAGGAATGACTTCGGTTTGATGGGACGGGGAAAATAAATATGTTGTCACTGTACTTTGGTGACTAGTGACTTGCAGGTTTTCAGAAAATTTTCCCAGGCTATCTCTAAGGTGCACTCAGTCATGAATGTCCAACTAGCACTTTCAACGAATGCGGACAAGACGTGATAATGAGTAATAGATTGCAACTTTTCGGCTTCTGTATAGGGATCTTTGGAGCGACCAATGTAATGGAACGATAAAGTCATGTAAGCGCTTCGATTCAAAAGAATGAATACGTTGAGCCCATCAACCATGAGTTCCTCGCTGGTGAGCACTAGACTTAACCTTAAGAGCAAATTCGCTGTTCTAGGCCCGGTGGGATCGGCGACGTGGTTGTATTAGACTATCCTATAGATTAGCTCTTTTAGATAGGCCTTGAACTTCTCCGCCTCGGTTACACCATAAGATGAGCGTCTGCAATTATGAATGCTTGTGTCTGCCAACCTGCATTGTTATCGCTAACACAATACAGCTTGGTATGTGAATTGGACTCCAAACGTATAGTTGGATTCTTACTGTGGATCATTCACTTGCTGGCTGCTCAACACTATTGACCAATAGCCAAGGACAGCATAGTATGGAGTGAACGATCACAAGTTCACAAGTCGAAAGTGAATAGTTGTGGACTTCTCCCTTGGCTGATACAAACTGTGCAGTAAACTTTGGATAACAGAGTCAACGGCGTCAGACGAGCAAAAAGCCTAGACGATAGGTACACGCCTCTGTAGACAAGGGTGGGCAAACCGATACTGAAGTATTCCCATTGTACAGAAATACCAAAAATAAATGTTAATCGAATAGAAGTCAGAATTGTCCAGCGTATTATTACTCGTTGCGGATTTGCTTAACGGCCGATCCCATCGGGAGATGACTAGAGGGAAATCGACATAGGAGACAGTCAAAACTTGTGGTTACCAACCGGCCTTCCAAAAGTTAACGTGGGCATTGTTCGTGTCCTATTGGGTCGTTCTAAATTCTCTTACCTTGTTAACACATAGGAGCAAATAGTACTTACTTTAAACACACAAAAATATTTAATTAGCATAGTTCATTGTTATAGGCGCTGTATCGCTAAGGTCCAGGCAAAATATCGATGTCTCTGTCGTAAAACGAAGTAGTCTAGCTGTTAAAATATTGGCTGCTGTACGTTTGGGTATGACCGCGGTCATGGAATTTGTTGTCTTTGATGTAACTATGCTGATGCATAACACAGATAACGCACTGCGGGATCTTGAAACGCGTCACTGCCATATGAGGACGTGCATTGTCATGCGGGAGGAGGGTAAGAACTGCTTTTGGATGCTTTTTCCAGTGTTCGTCAACCACGTTTTACGGTTGTTGGCACTAGACATAGGTAGCATTTCACAATAGATGATTCCGCGGCGATCCCGCCATAAATGTAGTATCCTTGGTTACAGTGCGGTTCGCTTTTTTGGGCTTCTATTGGATTTCCTCGGCTGCTATCTACTGCCGCTTTCTGATATAGATGGAATAGGGTACCCACTTATATTCTCTAGTGCCGACATCATTCAGCCATCGATGATTGTGTCCTCGGGTGAGCAGTGAATGTGACATGTCACAAAGGTTCGAGGACTTCACATCCGTCAGTCTTTTGTGGTACATGTTGTCCTCGTTTTTATTATTCCGGATTTGCACAGATGGCGAAGAACGGTGGTTTCTGTAAACTCAAGTTTTGACGAAACTTCCTGCACACTATGTATCGGATCTTACTTTAGGGGATACTGGATGCTTCTGATAATGTCGCTGGCCTGCGTCCTTGAGTTCTGATGTTTTAAAATTCGTAGTTCCCTACTTTGAATCGAGGTAACCAATATAAAACCATAATGTAAACTGGAGCACCGTACTCCGTAGGTCACCCAGGTCCCGACAAGTTACGTCCATTATGTGCCCTTCCTAGTAATGGTAAGATAAGCATCCGCGAACAGTGTTCTGATCAATTGCCCATAATTCAGCCATTGCTAACAGGGACAGTGAAAGATTATTGCTCCAGGGTGTCCACTTATATGCCCATTTTAAAGAACTTTTGAGACAGTTTCAGAAATACGGCATATAAAAATGGGGCTTCAACTGAGTTTGGGATAACTTAATTGGTATTAAGAAGCTTCGATGTCTTATTTTAAAGCAAATAAATTGAATTTATTATTGTGCTACGATCCGTTCCGCTGTCTGGTCGTTCCTAACTGGCCTGTATCGTAGACTACGTCCCATTGGTTCGTGCTCGCTCTCCAGACGGGCTGATTCAATCCTACATTGTCTAGAGTTACATTGTGTCACGGTGCTGCCATCCCAGATAGACTACACAATCGTCTATCATGGGTGGCGTCCTTCTACTTGGTCGATACTCCCTCATACTGCCAGTGGCCCCAGCGAACCGTGTTGTTAACCTAGACTCAACTGTATGCTATCTGCTGGCCGCTTGTCGGACCAACCCGCTTCTCAGCCGTCTGGGGACACACTGCATCTCCTTTGCATCAGGCCGGACTCGTCGTGCGCACTTATCTCTCCTCCGTGACTTTCTAGTTGCTCCCGGTCGATCGGTACCGCGACGATCCCATTCGCTCCAGGGCTGAACCACCTGCACATTTTTCAGGAGTCGACAACTCCGCCACTGAAGCTATGGCACGTTCCAACCTTACATGTAAGTCACTGCCAACCACCAGCCTTGCCTATAAGAAAACGTCCCGAGTTCAAGAGGAAATATTTAACGTACTCTGCAGTCAACTTTATTGTGTGTGCAACACGTTCCTCTCCCAAGCAAGATCGTGTGCGGCATCTCTCCAGGCACATCTGGACAACTCGGGTCTGTCCCACTCAGTCGTGCGTATTACATCGGAACAATGGAACAACTGTAGGACACTGGTAGAAACCTCAGTTTTGACAAGTCGCGTAGGATGGGCTGCGTAAACCACAAGTACAAAACTTGTCAACGTGCTAAAGCGCAGCTCTGCGGACTCACCTTACATACACGTGAATCCTCCCACCCCGATTCCGTGCGGCCTGATGAGTACAGTGATTGTTTGCTTCGTGTTGTCACGCGATGAGGGAAATTCAGCTCTTTTATTGTAGATGGCGTGATACATCATCGCAGGAGCAGAAATGATACCTATTGAAAGAATGTCCTACGGCCGACGAATTCGGAGGAGCAAAATTTCCAGGGGCATTCCATCCGGCTATATTGAGTGGCTAGTTTCAGGAAGTGGTGGGAGGCTGACTAGGGTTTTACAAATCTGGTACCTCAGGACGAGGTCAAACTGTTGAGAGCAGTAATTTTCAATGCACATTCCCAGAGCTTTCAGCTGCAGTTGGAGGATGGAACAAGTCCTTAAGGTTATTCATTGCCGCCGCTCTGGGTCTCCAGTGCGGCAAGATCACGTTCTGGCCATGGTTGACTGACTGAATCGCGTACCCCACATTGGGTTTCACATACGTATTATGCATTTGTGGAAGATGGAAGAGTCGAATCGCCCGTACG